CCATCCAAAACAGCTTGATTCATGCACAGAGAACAATAGGGATCAGGTGCCAGCCCTAAACGAAACAGGTGCGCGGCTAGGCAGTCATGTCCGGTATATAGTCGAAACTGAGCCACCGCTTCGCGGCGCGGCCAGTCTGGAATGGTGTTCTGTCGAAGATCTCTCCACACTTTGGTTTTTACCCTTTCTGACAATTGATGATAGAAATCCCCATTGATTTTTGATCTAATAATCCTTTTTAAAGTAGGGAAGGGGACTGGGCTACTAAGAGCCTGGAGGATTCTTGTGCCTCTCTTTGCCGAAACATCAGCCCTCTCATTTCCTGCAATATCACCATGCCCGGGAATCCATTGTTCCCAGCTACAGTTTTGCCAAAATGGTGGAGTTTGCGTATCGCATCCTGACATTTTAGAACGTCGCAATTGGAAGGGCAATGCATTGATTCAATCGAGTCTGAAAGGATAACCACATTTTAAAAAAACTCAATAAAACAAAAAAGCTGTTCGAGAGCAATACGGATTGCAACAACTTCCCCGTCAAAAGCAGATCTATTGGCACCCACTGGCCCACTGGGGAACCAAAGGAGAAGAGATTACAAAAGATACCAGCTCCAGCATTTGGTTGATCCGGATCGAAAGAGTCATCTGTAAAAACTGAGCCAGAGCGGTTCCGGGTAACGGATTCCCATAGTCTCCAGCGCAAGAAGGTGGAGAGCAGCAGTAGACGTTTCACTTTTGACAATGTCCTGTTCAAGAGAGAGCCTGACATTAACTTTTTGGTAGACAAGAGAGCTCACCAGTTCCAGCTGACCCTCTAGTTGGGGCGGATCTGATCCCAACCAATTGATCTTTGACGGCCTGAATAAATCCATTTTGAGTTTTCAAACCACGAGGAGTAAGTTGATAGTTAGTCCAGAAATTATCCATTTGGGAAAGTATAGTATAGTAAGACAGCCCTTTCCTTAAAGACAACATCCAAAGGTTTAATGCCTGTGAGCAAGATCATTGCGTCTGTAGGTGTAGTTTTTACAGCACCTGTTATTAGTCTAAGGTCCTGGTTTCGTAAAACTTCAAGCTTTTGAAGTAGGGATGTAGGCATAGAGATGAGTGGTTCAGAGCAGTAAGTAAAAATTGGAAGTATGTATTTTTGATAAGTCAGAGCGAAGGTACACCGGGCACATTCCCAGAGAGTGCCAGCAAGTCGTTTTAAAATAGGGACGCGTCTTATTACCCGTTCGGCAACAAATGCAACATGGTTCCTCCAGCTCAGTTTTGAATCAAAAACGGTTCCGAGATAAGTGAAGGAATCAACATTTTTAAGCGTAGTGCCAGAAAAAGAGAGATTTGGTATAATTGGTCGATGCATTAGTGAAAAAGTTTGAGTGGCACATTTATTCAGATTTACTACCATATTAGTTTCCCCACACCAACGACTGAGGAATTCCAGTGCAAGATTGAGTGTGGTCTCAACAGTTGATTTAGCGTGGCGCTTTGATACTGTGGTCCAGAAAACAAGATCATCCGCATATCCGTGCCGCATGGCAATGGATGTTAGGCACTGCCGTTAAGGTGTTTATCAAGTCATTGATATAGACGTTGAAAAGGGCACAGCTGGTAACAGCTCCCTGTGGGAGACCAGTACGGAGATTAAAGCTTCTCGATTTTCCATTTCCGAATTCAACTCTGCAGCTTCTTCCACAATGGAAAGATCGAAACCAATTAAGCATGCATGCAGGGACCGATCAAGACAAATTCAGGCTCAAGGCCCACAAAATTTACCGGGCCCTTATCAAAATATTTTGAAATTAAATTTCTGAAGAGTAGTTCTAACAATAAAACAAATCTATTGAACTGCATGATTCAAGAGAGACATTCTAAAAAATTTTGAAAGAAACCAAGATTATTTTTATAAGATAAAGTTTTCCCATCTAAATATTAAAGCAAAATGTAAAAAAAAAAAAAAAAAAAAAAAAAAAAAAAAAAAAAAAAAAAAAAAAAACAATGTTGTAGGAAAATACAAATAGTCTGGTGACCGCAAACAATTGAAATCAGTGATTTTTGCTAAAAGTCACTGATTAGCTGAATCATTTCAAAGATTGTAGCCTTCCATCTACAGCTTTACATATTTGTTAAGAATAAGCTTTTAGTTCTTGTTGACACTAATCATTTATAAGAAACTTTGCTAATATGCATTATCGTTGCGTTTGCTTAAGCCGTTGGAGTAAAAATTGCACCAATTAAAACTCAGCTGTACTTTCGATTTTGATTAGTGTAATGTTTACACGAGTTTGGTTTGTCACAATATAAAGACATTTTGAAATGAAAAATACCTTTTTTGAGAAAAATTGTCTCTTTCAGTACTTTTTAAATAATATTGCGGACTTTTTACTAATTTCTGAGGCCCCCAGAAAGTGTGGGCCCTAGGCCAGTGCCTATTGGGCCTAGGCGATAATCAGGCCCTGCATGCATGAGTGGACACCAAGGTCAGCAAGTTTTTGCATCAAGAGTTCTCTCCAAACGGAGTCATAGGCACATTTAAAATCTACAGCAGTCAGTACCTCTCCATTATCCAAGGCATCCTTTACCACCTGACTGAAAAAGGTAACTTGGTCAACAGTGGATCGATTTCTTCTAAAACCTGCCTGCTCGTGACGTATTAATTTGAAACGTTCCAGATACCAATTGAGTCTCGTATTGACCATTTCCATTAGTTTGGCAGTAGTACTTGTCAGAGAGATGGGCCTAAAATTTTCAATGGAGTCTGGACTTTTGCCCTTTTTTAAAATTGGGATAATTTTGGCACTCTTCCAGCAATTAGGTACGACTCCCCTTTTCCAAAAAACATTGAAGATTTCTAAAAGTACCTTTTTTGTGTAATTTTCCATGTGCTTTAAAAATTCAGAGTGTATCCCATCATCGCCAGGAGACTTTTTTTATAGGAAGTCTTTTTAAAGAGAGATCGAATTCATATTCGCTGAAAAGATCAGAGAAGATATGATCGTCTTTTTTCCGATCTTCAGCGTGAGGACCATTAAATTTTCTCTTGAGAACTTTCGAGCTCTTTCTTGCAAAGCAGCGTTTTCTTTGGGAAGAGTGATAGAAATTTCCAAACGCGTTTGCAATTTTGGTTTCATCAGTTAGACATCGATGATCAGCGTGGATAGGTTGTCTTTGAGGCGAAGAAAACTTATTCTGGATTTTGCTAAGGAACTTATAAGTTTTGGTACTGTTTTCCCTAAAATTGAGGTTGTTAATAAAACGCTCAAAAGACATTCGTTTTGCAGAAAGTACTGCCTTTTTAAAAAAGGCTGTCTGTTTCCTCCAAGCAGAGATATCCACAGATCTTCCAGTAAGCTCAGCTTTTCTTCTGAGACGGTCTCGCTTTGTCTTAATTTCATTCAATGTTAAGGACCAAAAACACTTATATGCCTTGGGTCTACCTCTTGGTATAGATCTACGGGCTGAGTACATTATGTGTTTATTAAACTGGTTGATTAAGATAGATGGGTGAGACGACAGGTTGATAGGATTGTTTTGTAGGACTTCGTCTAAGGTGTAAGAGAACTTTCTCCAGTCGGCCTTTCTAAAGTTCCAAGACTTCTTTCTTCGAGACCTTATTAGCCATTTGTGATGTTGGGACTTTAACAGTGGCAATTACTTGTCTATGACCAGAACCTGGGTCTTCAATCACAGATCTCTTCGTATATATTGGCAAAGATGGGAAGATACAAGGAGGAGGTCCGGGTTAGATAGAGTTCCATTATAATGGAGGAATGTGGGAATGTCTGAGTCTCTAAAGATAAGCTCAAGAGGACTAGAATTAAGAAGGTTTTCAACCTCTTTACCAGCAGCATTAACATCATCATAGCCCCATGGTGTTTTCAATATAAATGTAAACAATAACAATCTCGGGCTTAATACTGCTTGTCTAGATTGGTACTCTGACCGCCACTAAGTCTGTGGCAGTCTGGTGCTATGGAAACAAGAAGAGGGCATTTTAGGGAGGGTAGCTTCGATGCAGAGGTCTCCTTTTTTCTCGCCGAAACCAGTCTTAAAGAGGGACTCCGCACCCCTACTTGAAATAATCATACCTCGTTACCATAGTCACCGCTACAGCTCCCGACGAATGTCTGGCAGAGTACCTTTCTTAGACAAACAGTACCTGCTCTAGTTCCGGTTAGAAAGTTTGCAACTGCTTACTACAGCTTATTCTGCGAGGCGATATTTTCAAACGGATAATTTTGTTTACAATAAAACGAGTAAATTAGATAATTTATGAGCTCAAATCTGCCGTATTTCATAAGATATTAATGGTATTAAGTAATTCTGGTGAGTTTGAAGTGAAAATTTGTTTTAGCTATTTATAGATATATATTGTTAAAAAAAGGTGACATGGTTGCTAGATTTGGAATAACTCACTTTTCTGGCATCTGGCAGTCCTGATTTGGACTCATTCTATTTGTGTTGCGATACAGCTAGCGCCATCTAAGGAAAATATTTTCAACTTCCATTTTTATTATTCTCTAGTTTTTCTGGAAACCGCCAACGGCGGATGTAAAATTTTTTACTCTTTGTTATTAAAAGTTTGTTTTGTTATTAAGCCCTTGTGTGCTTGCCTCATTTGTGATTTTACAATGAGTGTATAATATGCCATTATTCCCAGTTTCGAATATAATTAAATCGGGTAGATTTTATCGGATAACCCCATCTTTTATTTTCAAAAATAGTATTGTTAAAATTTGTTTATTACTGTTTGTTCTTGTTGCAAGTTGTGCACCATCTTAAGTTAGTGCTAGCACCTTCAGCATTGTAAACACAAGTATTAAGTTATCAAATACCACGCTTGCAAGAATCTCAAATCACAATGATCACGTTGTGAGCCAAATGGTTTTAAAATACATCAAAAACAGTAACCCGGAAGTATAGGCGGTATGGAGCTTGCAGCGTTCCCTAGTGTAGAAAACACGATCCAGAAATAAGCAAGTTAACTTTTTCGACAAAGTTAAGTTAATCTTCATTTCCGTTTCCGAGAGAGAAATTTCTAGAGGGTTTGTTATTGTTTACGTTAAAGTGTCATGTACCGTGAGAGATTTTGATTTAATGATCTTTAGCTTATATTTCTTATTAGTATTAATAAATTCTTGTTAAGCAAAATAAAATTGCGGAACAAAATTTCTTACGAAATGAATCCGGTACTCGAAGAATTTTCCCAGTTGAAAGGTCTTACGAGTTCTACAGTATTTAATAGTTTTGCTTTGAAAAACACTATTCAAAAACTTTCAAATTTAATGCAATCATCTCAAAATAGGTGGGAAATAGATTCTTTTAAGTTTATTGCTTTAAATTTTATTAACTTCTGATTGTGTATTTTATTTATTTTTTAAAAATAATTTTCAGAAATGCTGTCGAACCCCATCATTGGCAAGACATAGTTCACGTTTGTTCAATTGGTGTGCAAGTTATTAATCAAAAAGAATTTAAGGAGAACGATTTAGAATTTCTTGCTATAATCTTCAGGTTTTTGCGAAACGCTTGTGGTGGTTCAGGAAGAAGTCATATATATTTATTAAAGTAAANGGCCTTTCTAAGTAACCTGTTATTTTTATAACAGGTAGGATTAAATAACAGGTGAAAAATACCTGTTCCAGAAAATATTAGCCACCTCTATTGTTTACGTCAAAGTGTCATGTGCATACAGGAATGTTATATGCAAAGAGATCTTGATTTAATGTTTTTTATCTTATATTTCCTACTAGTATCGATAAATTCTTGTTAAACAGAACAAAAAATAGCGGAGCAAATTCTCTTACAAAATGAATCCGGTACTTGAAGAATTTTCCCAGCTAAAAGGTCTTACGAGTTCTACAGTATTTAATATTTTTGCTTTGAAAAACACTATGCAAAAACTTGCAAATTTAATGCAGTCATCACAAAATAGGTGGGGAACAGATTCTTTAAGTTTATTGCTTTAAATTTATTAGCTTCTGATTGTGTTTTTTATATATTTTTAAAAAATATTTTTCAGAAATGCTGTCGAACCCCATCATTGGCAAGACATAGTTCATGTTTGTTCAATTGGTGTGCAAGTTATTAATCAAAAAGAATTTAAGGAGAATGATTTAGAATTTCTTGCTATAATCTTCAGGTTTTTGCGAAACGCTTGTGGTGGTTCAGGAAGAAGTCATATATATTTATTAAAGTAAGTAGTTGTTATTACTCTACAGGTTATTTTATTTACTATTGTACATGTTATTTCAAGGGAAGATTTCTATTTCCGTATCATAATCTACTGTAGAATAATCGGCATGACTTGGCCGCTTTGGGGGAAATTTCTGTATCTGTCATGTTTTCTGTAACTGTCATGTCAAAACTTCTGTCATGTTTTCTGTATCTGTAGTTGGCGTGATCTGTCACACCAACTACAATCGCCAAGGTGCCTAATAGTTAAATTTTTGGTGCCTTGCAAATTTTAAAAATAAACAAAACATGTAGATGTTTGCCCTGGGTGGCTACGAGTAATACCTTTCGAGTTGGTCCTATTCTGTGATATTTTTTTTAGTTCCTCGTCGGCCACTGCCTTGAAATTTCCAAGACTTGGCGATAATTCTGTCACAGATCACGATATGGAAACCAAACATGTACACAAAACGCGCAAAAGAAACATGTAGATAAATTTATTAAAAAAAAAACATACTATTAATAGATAAATTCATTTATAGATAGATTCTATAAGAGATCCTTATAAAATTTGTAAAATGTAGAAAATTTATTCTATATTACAAATTTTTATCCTAACATGGAGACAACCTTTCCCTCTCTTTCCTTTAATTTATTTATTGTTTTTTCACCTTATAGTTGCAGTTAAAACTTATTTTATATTGCATAGAATTTTGTAATTAATGAAAACTTATAATGCTTTAAATGGTTTATATTGTTTTAAATATGAATCCGCTTTTAACAAAAAAGGGTTCAGAAATTTGAAAATCCTGGGTTCTTAGTTTCCAAAGTCTTGCCGAATCCCTATATTCACTCGTTATCAATTCAGAACACACTTTATGTACTGTCTATAGTGGCACGTTACTGATGAAATTTTGGTTAGACTAATTTTTTTTTGTTGAAAATAACTGTGTCAGAAAAAATGCAAACATTCTAGTAAATTTTGAGACTATATATATTTATTTGACTTATTCATATGCTGACAAGATTACTAGTAAAATGAGAGATTTAACCTCAGACTCTTCATGTCATACATGTAACAAGTTAAAAGTAAATTTTAAATGAAATTATTGCACATTTTAAATTTTATTTTTACACATTACACAATAATACTGCTACGAACTTGTTTTAGAACATAAAAGAATGTTAGGTCAATTATTTCAGTATAATTGCTATGTGCATACAATATTTCATATTGTGTTTTTCCCAAAATTCCAGGAGACCTAGTAAAAAGCGCTGTATTGATCCATATCGGCATTCTTTCGTCATTGTAAATTTTATGTTGTCTTCTAAAATTCTATTAAAATTTGTTCAAGTTAATTTGTATGAACTAGAATGAAACCAGTTAAAAGATGTAGATTTTATGCATTTCAGAGACATTTAAAAGAAAAAAAAATTCTACAAAAAATGCACTAAGTTTATAATTTTGCGTAAAAAATAATTCTTTTAAATTTCTACAAAAAATGCACAAAATTTATTACTTTGTCAGAAATATGGTGCGATTTGTTCTTATTTATAATGCAATAGCATTATTAATTAATAAAGATGTTATTGAAATTCATGAGTTGATCATTATTTTAAGTTTATGTTACTATGTTATTGATGTGTTAATATTTCATTTTTTGTAGCTCTCCAGAATGTGTAGAATTTATACATTTACCTTTACGTATATTACTACATAAAAAAGAACCCAAAGGTAATGCTTTAGAATAATACTATTTTTAGAAAAATATTTATAGCTTTTTCTGTACTTTTCTTAGAAAATCATGTGTTTTATTTAATGTGCATAAATCTTTTTGTTACTTTAATTTTTCAGATTTTTGATTGCGAACATCTAATTTATCATAAGTTAAGAAGCTATTTAAATTTTCTTAAGTTAAAAAGAATAAATTCAAAGAGTTTTAAAATTCAATGTTTAAATTTTACATTGAAGTTTAAGTAGATAAATTCTTTTAAGTAGTAAAAAAGATTTTAAACATGTTTTGAAAATGTGCCTTTTTGTATTATCAGACTTGTAATGTTTAAAATCATTGGTAGTTTGTTTGTCCAGAACCTTTAAAATTCGTATAATCCTTTGTGGTCAATATAACTACAGAAACTCACATTGCGATCTAATTACAGATGTTCTAATGAAAAGAGTTGCATTCTACAAATGCAATTTTTATGCAAGGAAATATTAAATAACTTTTTACATATTAAACTATTTATTTTACAGTAATCCCTGAAAACTATTTGTTGATTCAGCTTTTGCATATTTCTCTTTGCTGAGACCTGATTTTTTTAAAAAAAAGTTTTTTAATTTTTAATTTGATTTTGCTCAAATGTTATAAACATCCCATGTAGTCGTCGGAAGTAGCGCACTACAAGTAGTGAAACTACCGCAGTCTCTACTTTTTTCATACTTTGTAGTGTAGTGTGCTACTAAAAAAGTTGTGTAGTGAGTAATGCGATACAAGAAAAACAGTAGTTTGTGATGATTTCTGGCTATTGTTTTTTACGTTAGTTTAGTAAAGAAACAGGGTTCTAACACAACTAATTTTTCAAATTTGTTGGGTACGAATCTTACCGGGTCCGTCAATAACTGCAATTTAAAATGCTTCTGTGACTGTGAGTAAACAGGAATTACGTATTTACAGGATGTGTAGCGTTTTTAAAAAGTGCTTAAGGTGCTTATTTTCGATTTTCATTTTTTAAAAGCCCTTAAAGGTGCTTTTTTTTATTGGGTGTTTTTAAAAAGTGCTTAATTTTCCTTTTTTCAAAATGAGATTTTTTCTTTACCATGTTGATTTTCGGTTTGAATTATGCAAAAAGGCACAGTTCACATTGTTCTATTCAACGTTTTTACAATTAATTCAACCCTCATCTATTTTGCGCATTGTTCATCCGTAGCGTACGAAAATGCCATTCGTTTTGCATGATTCAAAGTTTGATGATTTTTGACAATTGTCAGAAACAATGCCAAATTTTTTTTTGACATGACGGTTAAAACAAGATAAAACCGTCAATTGTCAAAAGCTTTCTAACCCTGCCTAATTGTGATGTTTTTTTTTTGAAGTGCTTAAAAATATTGTTTGGGTGCTTAAAAGGTGCTTATTTTTTGTTGAATAATTTGGCTATGCACCCTGATTTAGAATCCCGTAAAACTAATAATTAAACTACCCATTATGAATAATAGATAGTTTGTCATTTCAGTCACGCTTTCAGATGTGAATGTTATTTCATTGATGTTATTTCAAAGGACGGAAACATATTTTTAATGTATTTAAATTCATAGAGGAAATAAAAGAGCATTAAACACAACGAAATTGCAAGTATTTGATAATTTCCTAGCATTTCTTAAATTAAATTTTCACATTCAAGAAGGGCATAAAAAGTGGAAAATTAAATGAGCAAATTTGAAAAAAAAATGTTTTATGTTTACTAACTGACTCACAGAAACTTGAATAAATATTACAAAATAATTCTTCATAGTTAATGTAAGCCAATTTTTTATTCAAAACATAATGTGTAAATTAATTTCTCCTGCAGTCTAAATTATACAGGTGTAAATTTCGCCAATCGAATTTTGGTTCCTTAAAGTAGTGAAGTAGTCACTATATTTGGAAAGTAGTTTTTAACCGCTTCTTTAAAAAAAAGTAGTTGCAAACTACATTTATAACGATGTGGCTGTAGCTGTTGTAAACTACAAAAGTAATGTAGTTTTAGTATTTTTGATGTTAAATAACATCCTATGTTAAATAATAGCAATGATGCGTAATACTAATTTTTAAAACTTTTCAAGTTGTATCCTAAAACTTTAAAAGGATGCTCTACTGTGCGAGAAACTTGGACTATTCATTAAAAGGTGTAACATATATATGTTGTTGTGTTTAGTTAACATATTTAGTTTTCTGATATTTAGTCATTCGCTAATTTATTTTATCATTTACTTAAAAAATGGATTAATTAAATAACAAGCCTCTCTAATTTACAGAAATAACAGTACTGAAAATTTGTATTCAACTATTTGGAAATCTTCTTGTTTTGAATGAGAGAGCAAAGCCTTTAGTATGGAAATATTTTTTCAAGGAATCTGCATTTAAGTAGGTAGTTTTTCTGAAAATTTTACTTTTAAATTGCATTTTTGATTAATATTTTAGTATTTTTAAAAATCAAAGATTTTAGAATTTAAATACTTAAGTAGTGAAACTGAGTTCAAGAAGTGAAACTTTAGGTGTTTTAGATAATTTAATTTGAAACAAAAACTCTCTGATAATAATTTTGTTTTGATAATATTTCTATTTTTAAATGATAGATTAAAGCAGATCAAAGCAAAGTTTACAAGCATTTTCTTCAAACAATCTGCTTTAAATTTTTTTTTGGTTTAAAAAAGGTAGATGTTAGTGCTTAAATATTGAATAGTAAAATTGAAATCTAGAAGTCTAACCTTAGATTACATATTCTCCGATAATAATCTTATTTTCATAATATTTCTTGTTTTGAATTGCCGAACAAAGCCTTATGTTAGCAGACATTTTCTTCAAACAATCTGCTTTTAAGTTGATTTGTTTTTAAATACGTGTTTCTAATTGGCATATGGGATATATATTTTCGTAATTATAATTTTTATGATTTCATGGCATGAATATTTAGATAACAAAATTAAGTTCAAGAGTTCTTGATTTTTTAGTTGATTTATTTTGAAAAACTAAGTTTTTTGTAAGTTTTGCAGTATGATTTTGCACATTATTTTGATATAAACTTATAATACCTTCTTCATTTAAACAATAGTTTTCAAAGTTATTTTCTTAATTATAGTCATTATTTAGAATTTAAACTTGTTAATAAATCGTCATTCTAAATTATTCTTTAAAATATTGTTTATTCAGTGTCATTTTATCTAGTATTTCAGGAATGCAAGCACATTTCTTACATTATTATTATTTAGTTAAGTATTTGGAAAAGTATTAAACAGCATTTTTATTTTAATTGTGAGAAATTTAATAAATTTATTTCTTTACTAAAGCTTGATATTTGTTTAAAAATTCATTAAGTTGAAGACCCTCTAAGTGAATTTAGCAACCCTTGTTATTTTTTTCTTCTTAATGTTAGTCAACACCTAATCTGATACTTTTTTCTTTTTTTTTTCACTGCAGTTCATCCTTTTTTGTTTTGTTTGGAGACTGGTATTACCTTTTTTTAGAGAAATTTTTTAAGATTGTTTAGAATCTAAATAATGAGTGGAAACAATACATGTCTTGATTTTAGGATTGTTTAGATTTAGAATCTAAATAATGAGTGGAAACAATACATGTCTTGATCCTATCTGTAACAGTTAATACTGTTGCAGATGGTGCTGTAAATGATAAAAAATATGCTAACAATAAAAATAATCCTAATTTGTCAAAATGTTTGAATATTGTATATTTTAAAAAATGAACTTAGAAATATATTTTTCTATTCAGATCTCTGCTGTGTTCTCCTGATCCAACTGTACAAGAATATACAATGATGGTTTTGTATAATTCCATGTCAGATAATCACTGTAATGAAATTTTAACCACAAATGACGGACATGATATTGTCAAGGCAGTAACAGACTCTCTGTTGAAAAATTTTGTTGACTGGGGGTAAGTCATTCTCTATAACAAACCCAAATAAAAAGATCGGAAGAAATTCTTTTTTTTTTCTTTAAAAAATTATTGAATATCAAAAGTTTTTTTTTAAAGTTAATAATGCAGGTGTGATTGCAAAATTACCTAAAGGAATATAACTTTGACTTTTGCTGAAGGAAAGAGAACAGTGCCCTCTGCTTTAGAAATTACTATCCATAATAGCAGGATAGACTCCTATTTCTAGAGAAAAACAATGGACCATGGAAATGTTTAAAGCATTCTTTCAGATAGTGGAAAGAAAGTTTCTGAAACTAATAATAGTATTCTTTGTAAAAAAAAAAGTTATAAATCAAATAATAATTTTTTAGTTTTGCTCATTTTTGAATATTCATTCATAACTGCATATATCCATTCATATAATTCATTCATAATGAAAAGCTACAGTTATACAAACAGTTTCAAATATCTGTATATTCTGTATGTAATTTTTTTAAACTTTTTTATTTTATTTACAATCTTAAAATAATGCCAAGAACTAATGTTATTTATACTTTTTACAGTATGCTTTTTATTGAATGCCTATTAAAAAGAGAAGAGTTTCAATACTGCTACACACCTATGCCTTTAGAAAATAGGTAATTTATTATACATAATGTGTTGTATTGATGTTATATCTTTTTCAAAATTTACTAATAAGTCTTTATGAAATATTGAAAATTTCTCAAAGAATTTTTAGTTACTTAAAAACGAAATTGAATACTGTAATTTTTTTTAAAGAAATTCATATTTATGATAGTTTTTATTGTAAATTTTAATTTCCTGGAATGTTATTTAGTATCTTTTTTTTTTCTTTGAGAAACAAAAAGAATTTTTTTTTCAAGGAAAGCTTTATAAGTTATTTTGGGATTTTAATGTACACAAATAAAATGAGGAGATAACTGTCTCAGAATTATCGGAAGTTTAAATTGGATGATATAGAGCCACATAGTTAGAGGGATAGACTGTATTTTTAGTGATTTATAATATTGCCAAAACAGGTGGTTTTATTGTGATAGACAAGCTTAATGGTTAACAAGTGAAAATAAATACTGTTTTACTTATGTTTTTTTAGTATATATTTAGAAGTCTAATTACTGTGATTTAATTTCAACCATTATCATCGTATAACTGCATGTATAGTTTGCAGAGCATAAATTCAATTTAAATAATAGGATTGTTGCTGTACTTTTAGTGAATGTCATAGCTGGGTGTTTATTTTTTAGAAATCAATTTTGATGCTACTTAATTCAAACAATCTTTATGCTGAAGTAAAACAATATTGCAAACAATCACATATAAAACAATGAAAAAAGAAAAGAATACACCTGTTTTTATCAAATGTATAAATAGATAACATAATGAATGCAAAATATTTTAAGCAAATTAAAGAATCAATGGAATGACAACAAGTTAAAGCCGAGAAAATGAAAGTAAAGGATAAATTGAACAAGTTTAATTTACTAATGAAGACAAAATTTAGACTGTGTATTAATACAGTTGTGTGCATTTATTAAAGCAAACAAAAATTTTCCTTGAATATTTTGTTTTTGATGCTTTTTTATTAACTGTATAATATTTTATTTTTAATTTTCTAACTTTTTTCCTCTTTTAAAAATAATTGTTTCATCGATACTAGGCAGTGATTTTTTTAAGTGTAACAGTGCAATTTTATTAAATAATTGGAAAAAAGTTCAATTTAAATTGTTAAGTTTGAAGAAAATTATCAAAATATGCTTAAATAAAATTATTTTATTAAAATTTGCTTTCATTAGATCTTTTAGTAACTCTTGTTTTATATGATGAAATCATTCCATAATAAAATATTTAGTTGAATTAATTATTTTTAGGTAAGCATTTCTAATTTAAATACATTTACAAAATATTTCAGCATTGAAACAAATTCATATAGCAGTTGAGTTACAACTCATGCTATTTTAAATAATTTGAAGCCTTCATTGTATTCTTTATACACCTTTTATAATTTTAACAATAATACTTCTTTTTTGCATAATTGAAAGCATATTTAATTGTTTTTGTTTTTTATTTAAAAAGAAATGTGCCATTATTTAAGCAATTCTGTTTAATTTTTTCCCCTTTAAACTTGTACATAATAACATCTTTCAGTTTAAAATAAAAACAATTGCAATATATACAAAAACTGTTTTTAATATTTTAATAAATTTTTTGTTGTTGATACAAAACTATTATTAGAAACTATATTTAAAACTACTATGAATTTTCAGTAATTTAATTCTGACTATGGAATTGCAAAAAGTTGTTGACCATAAAAAATACTATTTTTGAACTGTCTAATTTTCTTGTCTTTCTTTCTTACTTTTTCCTTTTAATTTAAATAAAATATTAACCTGGATATATTAACCTGGAGCGAAGAACTTATTTGTTCAGTAATTTGTATTTTTAATTATTTTTAAAATTTTATTGTTAATCTTTATAATTTTATTTATTTACTCTCTTAATTTGTTGTTTGGAAAATGATACTTCTTTAACATCAATTAAGTGCTTCATTATTCATTTTAATATTTTTTCATTTGAATTACTATGGGAAGTAATAAAGAAAATTATATTCGTTACTGCATAAAAAGAATTTTATTGCCACTTAAAATCACCGTTGCAGGTTGGGGCTGCTGTATGTTATTCTTAAAGAAGAATAATCTTATTCATAAAAAAATAAATAAATGTGATGTTTATTATAGACATAAACATATTTGTTTTTCAGATTGTTGATATTAGATATTATAACTGAGCACCTAAAGAGTATAGAGAATGAGGAGACTCTTATAATTCCATTTGCTAATATAGAATACTTTAAACGCAGTTTTATAACACTTGTGGAAAAAATTGCAGTGTTATATAGTGTTAATGAAAACATGGTAAGTGGTTTATAATTAATAAGAAATAGTATCCCTTAAAAATGCAAAAATAAGGCTAGAGCAGGCCGAGTCTATATTCATCCCTAGGGGTTGATATAATGTAATTAAGGGTCAATCTGATTTCGGGGATCAATGAATGAATACCATTGCTATTCAAATGCAAAGTTTAAAAAAATTAAGTGATGATTTTAAATTAAGTTTTGGAGATATTGAAAATATGGATATGCCAGGATGAATTATTGTGCCACTTTCTGCTCTAGTTGAAAATATCGAAGTCATTGAATTGTTAGTTGACTTTGAAGCAAAGATTACTTTTAATAATTTAACTGAGTACATTCTAGATGAAAATAAATGTTATGCAGTATTTCCCTTTTCAGTTGTATTTCCAAGCTCATACATGATTATATATGGTTTTTGATTATATATGGCCCCATCTGAAAAGTAATTTTAGAAATTTAGGCAATGGCCGAAAAACAGAACAGTCAGGGTATCGTGAGCATTATCACATGTATAAAAAATTTAATTAAACAAAATCTTAATTTTATTCTCATAAAGTTAAAAGGTGGGATTTTGGGTATTGCATCTGGTTTATGGGCAGTTTCTCTTTGCATATTTTCCTACCACGAAGTATGTAGTAGTTTACAAAATAAAGCTTGAGTACTACTACACTATGTTCATTTAGGGGTCCTCCATACGCTATGTCACGTTTGTGGGGTGAAGGGGCTCATGAAATTGTGACAGCTTGTGATAAGGATAAGAGAAATATAGCAGGGTGTATGACATCTCACATTTGGTTTTAAATATATTCTAAAACGATTTCTCTGTAAGCCTTAAAAATTAAAATCTTTATTATAATTATTTAAGGTTATGATTTTTTTGTTACATAAGCATTGCTAAACTCCGCAGCTGAATTAAACTTAAAATAAAACTTTATGTATTAAAAAAAAAAAACGGTTCTACTTTGTCTTTCTTTAGAATATTTGGTTGAGATTTAGAATACAAGGTAGTGTAATAGAATGATGAATTGGGGGTATATAAATCAAAAAGTACCGATATTGCCGCATTACCTGGCTATATTGTTGCCCAACACTGGTTAAGAAATTTCATTCCAAAAATGTTGTGTCTTAGCATTATCTCCGACCAATCACTTAATTGTAATCAATTTTCATAATTTTATGCTTATTAATATATAAAAAGCAAATTTTTTTGAAATAAATCATTATGTTATCATAAATGTGTTTTTGTTTCGCTCTTTGACTAGGAACCATCTGAATTTGTGAAAATTTTATCACTGTTATGTACAGCATCTGTATGTAATGCTTACATACTCTACATGCATTCATGTAAGGATTTGCTGGAGAAGTGCATAGGTATTAATACTTTTTTTTATATGTATAATAATCGAAATAAAAATAGAACATCTTAATGACTTTTTCCTGAAGATTATCACATACAAAAAGGCTATCTTTAATGGTTAGAGCTAGTTTCTTTGCTTGTTGTTGTATTTCGATTTATCGTTATTGCATGCGTTTCAGGATTATAATTATTGCTAAAACTGCATGACCTATTCTTATCCTTAATTTCACTGTTCTTAAGACTTATGTTACTATAAGAAGATTTAATGTTTATAAAGAGATTAATGTTTTATCAAATATTTTTTTTTTGTGTGTGTGTCCATTTTTAGCTTCCCTTTCTTAAGAAAAAATTTTTCAGTTGTTAATTTTGAGGTTATTTCTTTAAAAATTGTTTTCAATTTAAAATTTTTCAAATTTATAAAAAAGCATTTTTATTATGTTCCAATATTGGTTGGGATAAAACATCAGAATGATCATGAATTTTGATTATGTATTAACAAAGTTGTGATTGTTGAGCCTTGTTATACATGATTGAGAACAGGAGAACTTGCAAATTATAATTAATTTGTAGATTCGCTCATCTTTTATGCTTCAGGAATAAAAACATATGCTAATTCTCTTCTCAGATACAATGCAACAGCTTTGAACCTCTCAGAAATCACGGCATGATTACTGCTATAGGTATAAACAAAACCTTTAAATTTTAAAGGTTTTGTTTATACCTATTACAGTAATCATGCCTATTACAGTAATTACAGTACAGTAATTTTAAAGCTGAAAAGACACAAGGCCAGATTTTTGATAAGTGAGTCGGGCAACGCTTTTTAGTTTACTTATCTGTAAACTGTTACTGAGTGTACTTTATAAAATTATTAATGTTTCCTTTGAATACACATTGAACATTTTTAAACTTTTTTTTGTAGAAACTTTAAAATGTGTGCATTTGTTGGGAAAGGATGGTTCTAATGTGTTTTCCAGCATTAGCAGCTCAAAAATATTAAGTGCTCAATGTGATGAACAAATTGCAAGTCATCCATTATTTGGTTTCAAAAAGGATCTGGTTAAGTTAATTGGAAATTTGTGTTATGGTTGCAAAGAAAACCAGGATTTGGTGAGTATACTGCTTTGAACTTTTCTTTCAAAAATTATAAATGAATATTTAAAAGGGCGATTCTTGTTTATGCACTTTCTTGTTTTAATACAGGTTCGAAAACTAGATGGAATTCCTTTAGTCCTTGATTGCTGTAAACTGGATGCTAAAAATCCATGTATCCTTTGATAAGTTAGCTTTTAATGATTTCTTTTGTGCTTACAATTTTGATTATTGCATATTAAAGTGGGCTTTTAAAAACCCTTCCTCCTCCTTTTTACTTTTGCATGGAAAAATTGTACATAAGAAAAAAAAAAGAAAATGATACCAACATTTATAAGATCAAAAAATGTTTTTCTATTCAAGTGTTATTTTTTTTTAAAAAAAAGCATGATACTTACTATTTTTTTAAAAAAATTTTGTTTCGTAACTATGTTAAATATGTTCTTTTTAAATCCATATTTGAATGAGTTCAGAATTTTCTTATATTCAAAATGACGTTAATTGTTGCTTGATAACTGATACTTATTAAAAAAACCATAGATTTAAATTTTTCCAATCTTCTGCCTATTCTTTTTAACTTCTTTTAGATAATTACATTACTGTAGTAGTGTTTTGAAAGAAAATAGCCTCCCTTTTTTTTTCTTCAAAATTTACAATCTAGCAAAAATAATTGGTATCAAAAATAGTTTGGTATCATTATTTTCAATATTTCGATGATAACTTTTTATTATTTTGTTTTATGGCTACTTTATATCACATAAAATATTGTGCCTTTCAAAGAGATGCTTTAAAGAGTTTAGAATTGACTTACATGCAAAACGAAGAAAAAACTAAGAATCCGAAATTTTTAATTTTAAATTGCCATTTGCTGATGCCGATTAAAAAATTTGTAGTGTTAAATGTTTTGAGGGTGAATAGTAAATAAATTTCTTTTTTGTTTTTTCAAAATTCCCAATCTAATAAAAACTTTCGATATCATTATTCTTTTCTGTACCGAAGAGATAGAACAAATAATGCTTTTCTGCCCACTTCTATTAATAATAAACATATGTACCGTGAGTTAGTACATGTCTTTAATGATAATAGGAATGTATGTATTACATTGCTTGTAATGTACGATAATATTTTTTATAATGTCTTAATTGCAACTCTTCTTTCATTAAAAGTAAAAATTATTTGAATGTTTTCTATTTCAGCAGAGGTTAAAAGTTTAATAGGGCTTTAAATTTTCTTAACTGTTCTGTAGATATCATGCAGTGGTGCATTTTGGCAATCAGGAATATTGTTCATCAAAATGAAGAAAATCAAGCAATTTTAGCTGGAATAACTACGACTGGTGAAATTGAAGATTCTTCTTTCCTGAAAGAAATTGGTATAAATGTGCGTTACAAAGATGGAAAATTGTCTCTAAGCTGAATTTCCAAATTTTCTCTGACTATTCCAACTCAAATACACACTTGTTAAGTCCAAATTGTTTAGATGCCTATTTTTTCAAGCATCTGGTTCTTATGCATTTTTATGTAAATAATATGTAACGTACAAATTTTCATATCACTGTGTTACAGATCTATGATGGTTATTTATTGTTAATATATTTTAAGACTGATTAGAAAACAAGGTTTTCCATTTTAAACTTTGTCTCTCGAGCTTAGATTTTATACAGTTATGATGGCATTCATTGAATTCCTGTAGCATTTTTCAGTGCTAATGCAAAAATTACTGAGTTATTCTGCAAACAATATTTATTATTTATTTGTTATTTTTGCGTTTTTTAATCTATTTTTAACCATTTAAAGAGATTAGGAATATTATTCTTATTATTTTAATAAAATTGTAAAATTATGTTCATTATACTTTATTTTAAACAGCATTCATTTTGCTGATTCACTGTTTTAATAGGAAGACACTAACAATTAGCAATCCACTAACATTATTAGCAATCCATAGCACAAAGTGATACTTTCCAAATACCAGTGAAATGATACACCATTTTTTTACTCTTTTTGGAATATAAATTCAGCAACCATCGTATATTCTATCACACGAAACACATGTGCAGTCCCTCTACCAACAGCAGAACTACCAAACAAAACTTGGTAAACTTCCAATCACAGCAAATGTTATTTCTTTTTGCTTCCGGTTGAGTAAATCGTGATAAAACAAAACAAACAAACAAACGTAGTTCTTTGAATGACGATTTTCCAGGAAGATGGATTGGGCGAGGAGGTTCAATTTCTTGGCCACCTAGATCACCTGATATAACGCCGCTGGACTTTTTTCCTTGGGGATTTATAAAGGACAATGTTTACAGGAGGATCGTATCGAACCCGTATTACCTAAAAGTCAGAACTACAACTGCAATAGCCTCTGTGAATGCTGACATGCTTGCCGCTACCTTGCGTGAAATTGACTATCAACTTGATATTCTCCGTGCGACGAAGGGGGCACACGTGGAAGTTCATTGACAAGGGTCATGAAACTTTTTGAGTCTATCTAACCATTTATGTTATTAATTTTAATCTCTCTGTATTATTTTATGAGTTATTAAACATCAAAATGGGTCCGGGACTTTATAAACACCCTGTATTACTGTGTTGTGCTTCTGATTACTGATATGCCCAGCAGATACAGCATATTCTGCATAAACCAAATCGGGTATAACCCAAACATAATCAAGAAGTGGAGACTAATTTTGTAAAAATTAATTCGGCTTACTCAAACTTAGAAAATATTGAATATGAAAATAGAGTATATGAAAATGAACTAAATAACGAAAGAGAAAAAATTGATAGTGATTTATATAATATGCGTCTATAATGCTTATAGCTCAAAATAAAGCCTTTTTTGATTATTGGATAAATTTTGCTTACCCAAACATATGTATAATGAAATATTTATATGTTGTTTCTAATGCCAATTGCCAATATCTGCAAGCCTGCTTGCTCAAACCAAGCGAATTTAAAACAGAGGGTGCTTTTTGACAAAAAATGTGACTGATCGTTGATTTCTCTCTTATTTACTATTATAAACCTTATATTTTTGCCCAGAGAGAGACTAACTAATTTCGAAATTAAAAATCTCTGAATCAGAGGATATTGGTATATTTATTGAATGCAACAAATGGTATATATGTATCATGTAAAAATATTTAACAGCAATTTTGAATTAAAAACTGTTTTTAAAAGTGACTTTTTTTGTGCTCTGTGCGCATAATACTTGAATATTTCTCTGTGTGAGAGGGTTGCTTGCCTTGAGGATTTTTGCCTATCCAGATTGAGTAAACAAGCTTATCCTTTTTGTAAACTATAATTTTAGTTGCTGTAATTTTTTGAATATGATATTCGAATTTGAATATCACTGCCTTATAATTTTGCAAAGGAATTGTTATATACATATCAAGACCATATTGTGAAGTGATTACAGGTCTCCTTTTTATGATCTTTGCTGTGCTTCCTCATAAATTTGTGAGTCAAATCTAGGCCAAAATGATTTTGGTCTCTTTAATTTAAATTGAAAAACTTAGAATAGTTGATCTAACACACACACATCATTTTTGCTTAGCTTATTATTTAATCAAGGGATTGAATATATGTATCAAAACCCTATAGTGAAATGGTAACCAGCAATATTTTCACGATCCTTGAAAAATAAAATAGCAAGTTTGTCATTGAAAAAATAGTAAAATAATAATATTGCAGCTAGGGAATATAGGTTTGTCCCGCAGTGGACTGATCCTTAAGACACGGTTCCCATCAGATCACCGAAGTCAAGCATCACTGGCTGCGATCAGTGTACAGGTGGGTGACCACTTGGGTCAGTCTGCGTAGGGACCGAGAGTGTGCAGTATTGGTCCTCGTTAAACTGTGCTACCGTAAAGTGCTCGTCTTCGCGTGCAGGTCGTCGGGCTACCGAAGCGGGGGTGCCATCCCCTCTGCAGAGGATCAAAATTGTGATGGCATGTCTTCGGATCATCCTCAGGGATGTTTCCCAGACCATCGCCAATAGCCCATTGTGCAGCTCTAGTGCGACGTAAATGAACAACAACCACAACAATTGGTTTCAGGACAACTAAAAATTAATGATTCTCCCCAAATTATGCAAGATGAAAACTATATGTTTGACTTCCTTTGTTATGATATTTTTTTAAAAATTAAAATGATGCTAAAAAATATACACATAATTACATCAAAATATTGGGTTGTTCAAAAAATAATTTTGTTTTTTCCCTAAGGAAAATGGGAAACGATTTTCTTATAGTGAATAAATATTTTATTGAATTTTGTAGTGTCCATTCTGGTCCAATACCTTTTGCCATCTTCTGATTCAGGTGATTTTTGACCTCATGTGAAATAAGGGTATAGCCCACTAAAATTTTTTGTAGATAGCCAAAGAAATATTGCACACAACCTATTTCTAGTCTCCAGGGAGGATGCGCTTCAAAATTGGATAATTTTGAGGTTTGAGAAGCATATCACAGGTGTCTAATGCAACGGCATAAATTTCTTTCTGTAAGAGCATGAGGATCCCATATGTCGAGCTTTTGGGAATAAACCAAAGCGTTTCAAATGATAATGAACAGTCAAATGCGACAAATATAATCTTTCAGCAATCTCACAAGTTGTTAATCGTCTGTTTTTTTTTATTATCAAATAATGCTTTTATTGTCTCTTCATCAGCCTAATCTGGCTTATTGCAGTTTCATGTATCTTAATCCAAATTTTGCAAACTAGTTTTGACACTGGTGTTGTTCTTCTCCATACACATCGGATAAATATTTTGTCATTTGAACATCATTTTTACCTTTTCGATAGTAAAATATGAGAAAATGCTGTTTTTTTTTTTACTTTCTATATTTGAAAGGGTACCAAAAAAATGAAAGTTACTAAGTACAATCAATCAGACTTTTTCACAAATAAATCTTACAAAATTCAAATAATTATATGACTTAAGTGTGAAGTCTGGGAAAAAATACAATTAAGCCCTCTGGTGGAAGAAAAATAAACGAAATTGCGTTCCGAACAGCTCAATAAAACAAATGCAACAAAATACATACATACTAAAGAGCATTTTCCCCTCTTACGCAACTATTTAAATTGATTTATTAAGCAGTTAGATTACATTTTTGAAAGGAGGCTTTTAAAAAAGGTCTGGTTAAATTTTATTATGAAGAGCAAAATTATGTTTTGCAGCGTTTCACATTCACCAATTCAAGTAAGAAAAAAAAAAGTAATCGAGTCATTCAGTATTCACAAATAAAAAAGGCCTTTGTTATAATTATCTTTTATTTAAGAGCAAACACTATTTTGTATTAGAAATTCTTTATTGAATTTTGAAGAAAATGTAGTTCTAAAATGAAAAATGTTACAACTCACTAGCAATGAGAAAATAGTTCAATAAATACAATAAGAAATTTTTTACATGATGTTCTAGCTATTAAGTGAACTTCAATAGTTTATTAATTACACAATCTAATTTCATTTTTAAGATCTTGTATTCAATGACATTTCAGATTGTTGAAGGTCACTAAAATGTTTTATGAATTAAAAATCTAAATACATAAATGCTTGAAATATTGGAAGTCTCACGCATTAATCTGCTCTTTCTATAAAGTTGACTCCAGATTACAAAATCTAATATCGCTGTTTAAGATTTTGTACTCAATGACATTTTTTTACTGTTGCATTGATTCTGCTAGAATTTGGAAACTACGGATCTCAGAACTTTCATATTTCTGTGTCTTTTCTTTACAAAAAGCGGATGCTTATTTAAAATATAAATCTTTCATTTAAAGCATTAGAACTCGTACATAAAAAGTCAATACTTTATGATGATTTTGAAAAGAAAAAATGAGATAGGTAATTGCTTCAGTAAAGATTCGACAAACAATTAAAACAGAAATTGTACATCAATTACCCTTAAAAGATCAAAAGCTAGTGATCTTAAGAAAGATAACGCGATGCTCGATATTATTTTTGATATGCACTAATTCATAATTCTCATTAGATTATTTGAAATAATACTTTGCTGAAGGTTGAATAAAACAAGCATCACTGAAAACTGAATAGTTAAAGAATTTAAAAATGAAGTATCAGCTTTAGCCTAACTTTAGAATAACAAATATGATGAAATAATTTTTCACCTACAAACAAATATAATCGCATAATAGTTTCGTTACTATTTATTTCTAATGAAAAATACTGCTATTAAGTTGCATCGAGCGATTGGAATGAAAATTACTCGTTCCAGAGGGAGCGTCATGTCTGCAATTTTTGGCGTATTTCGACGCGACACTCAAAACTCTAAACACTTATAAAGTTGGATGAATGGTGCGAGTCATTTACACGAATACACTTCTGTCCTTTCTGTGCACACGCGACAATCCACGTAACAGCACCAATGAAATTTACAGCGGCATTGCGCAGTCCTGGTAAATTGATGTGTATTGTAACCTCTACCACAACACAATAAATCGCATCCATCCGTTCCTCTGGATGTGCGATTGCACAGTCTACCCGAAGTGCCGGTCGATCCCTTCATAGGATCTGCCTCACAATAGTTTGGAGATTTTTCAAGGTATACAAGGTCTCTTGGCCTCGGTTTGCGATGCGGCCTTTTGGACTTCTTAGTTCTTAAAAATAGAGGCCTAGTCTTTCTTGTTGTTTTTTTGGCTGGTCCTCCGAAGTGGGCAAAGACTCTCTTTGCTATTTGGTAGCGGCGCATTAAATAGTCCCCTGTCTTACTGAATGGTGGCAATGTTAGCCAGCATGTTTTCATCGTACACGAACCAGACACGCCATGGCATTTACACTCTGTTTGTACGGTGAAAAGCACAGCCTATAAATAAAGAAAACATAAGTTATTTTCGAAACATAGGAGTAAAAAGAAAGCTTTGCTACTTCACTGTCAAAATCTTGAATAAAAAGTACTGACAATTAAGACACCGCTATACATCTGTGTAAGGATTGATAGGAAAAGTATCAGTGCTCAACTAGTACTGTTTCTATTTTTTTAAAAAAATCTTTAATTGTATATAATTAAATGATACAAAAATTTCGAGTGTTTCTTTTATTTATTAATTTTCATTGGAAATGATGTCTCATAGCATGTAAAATTGTTTACGTGTTTGATTCTTTAACATGCTTATATGTAATTAGTCCAATTTACTAAATTATTCTAAAAAACTTCCAATTTTATTAAAAAAATTTGCTTTAAATTAAAAATCATCTAAAAAAAGTAAGTTTTACTTTCAAAAATTAAAAAAGTCGAAAAAAAATTATAAATTAGTAAAATTATGTTTAATATTAATTGTAGAAGTTTATTAATACAGTTATTTTTAACGCGTAATTTGTTAGCTTAAAAATTTTCCTAATTTCTCTTTTTAAATGTTGCCAGTTACGGTGTTAAAGAGAATATTTGTGTAGGTGTGTGTATAAGTTTGTCTTCTGCTTTTCTTCTTTTACCTTAAAGCGTTTACAATTACACTTTTGAAAATTTTTTTAGGGGCATAGACGCATTATAAAGAGTGATTTTGATCTTAAGATAATTATTCTTTACTTTGAAATGTCTGTTACGCTGTCGTAAATGCGCTCTGATAAGAACCTATGCGTTTTTCCATCAATTTTTTAAAATTATTTTTCTAATTATATTATGTTCATGTCTGTCTATCTATCTATATATATACATTATTCAGTTGTTATATATATTTAAACTCCAGGATTTATTTAGCTTGTACCCTTTTCTCTTTTATTACTGTAACAAAATTTAAAGGAATGTGAAGCAAAGCATATATTTGATCATTTCTAAAATGTATACGAATTTTAAATCATCACACACACACACACAAAAAAAAACTCTTATTTGTATGGTCCTTATTATTTTGAACCCAGTCCAGAAGACAAAAGAAATCTTGAATTAAGTATTGGGAAAAAATTTGCCTTCGTGAAGGATTTTTTGAACTAACCTGCATTCGCGGACATTCGCTAACCTGCATTTTTTGAACTAACCTGCATTCGGGGACATGGAGAGGAAAACCACGAAAACCTTGTACGGTTTGTCTGGTGGCAAGGGGGCTTTAACTCATGATCCACCTACAACTGAGTATACGTCAACACCTTGGTTGGTGCGGCCCAGGCAGCCATCGCTGGGATCCGAACCGGTGTCACTTCATTGGGAGGCGAGCGCTGTATCACCTGAGCCACCATGACTCGCTATATACTTATGTATATTTTTTATAGTAAATTAATCTGCTTCTTTACAGCGAAGTTATGAACGATCACACAGACAAAAATAGGGGAGAATAGTTACGTCGTTAGAGATTAAGGTTTAATTTCGAGTAGAGAAATCTAGAAATTTTAGGTTATGCTATTCGGTTTTCTGATGGTCTCCAAGATCATTATTAGAGAAAGTAGCATTTAAATGGTTTATTCAATGTTAATTAATATCTGGGTGATCCCAATTTCAAATTGGGATTTCTACTCCATATTTCACAGTTGATAGACTCTACGTTAATCGCTTTATCAAAGCAATTTAACGTATCAAAACAGAATTTCTACTATAAATGTAGTAATGTAATACTATTTGCAAGCTTTTCATAATAATAAATAGGTACCAAAATACCATTATGACTTTAAATCACAAATAAAAGCGTGATAACTTTCATTTCTCGTACATTTAAGCAACTACAAATTTATCGCAAATTGGGCCTCAAAACTAAATGCACTAAAAAGCAGTTTCCACCAACCAGCTATTTTTTTATGCTTACAGAGAAACATAAGTTATAGTGGGTTATCTAATCATGAAATCAATTCAATTTACGAAGTCAATTACTCGTATGATACATAAGAGGTAAATAAACACATTAAAACATTAAATCATTAAATCAAATTGGAAAAGCGCACAAGGCAGCTAAAACCAAATTTGTTTTATATAATAGAAATAAGACATATATAAAATCTTTACAATTAAAATAAAAAATGAAAATATAAATTTGTGTTTGCAAAAATTTATGTGGGTTATTATAGTGGATTATTCACGTTATTTGATGCTGTTTTGTAAACGTTTTCAATGCAAGCATTCAAAAAACTGCATAATATTGATAAGAGCTTAACATCTTATCTTTTTCATGACATCAAAATAAGGATTATTGTTGTCATATTCTTGGTTAATCGTTGAGCTGCATAAAGGCTGATATTCAATATCTCTTCAACGCACAAAACATTGGAATAAATAAATCGTTACATAAGAAAGGCAACTCGACCTACTGATTATATTTTTTTTAAAAGAAGTGAATGCTTTGACTGAGTCAAATACCACTTGTCAGTCAGGTTTTCCACCCAACTTGACAGCAACATGCCTTATACAACTCTCAAACAAAGTTGGGAATAGAGTTGCTTCGCGGATGTGGCTTTTAAAAGAACTTAATCTCAAATGCAACAGCAAAAAAAGGGGGCATTTATCGGGTATTTTTTCCTCTACGTTTTTTTCTAAGTCCTTGCAACTTTATGAAGGCGGGAGCTGGCCGCCACAATGGCTTCTGTAGCAATATTGTGTACCACATTGTTTGGTTGTGAAGACCAAAGAGTCGAGAGGGTACCACCGACAAAAGGCAGTTTTTTGGGCAGAGTTGAAAGGTCAAAAGGTTGTCTATCATTACCATCCTCATTTCGAATAATCGAGGGCACCACGGGAGGTTGAGAGCAACAGCTCAGCAGGGATGCCTTGAATCTCTGGAAGGTACATATTTTCGTTCAAAAGTTATGTCAGCCTGCTTAGCTCCATTCTAATGTGAGATGAGAAAATTGAAAGCTTATTTTGGATTTATAACGCCTATTGTCATACCCTTATTGATTTCAAAATAAATGACTGTATTTGTAACTTTCATTGTTTATCAATATAATGAGAAGATATTCCGAGAGTAAACTCCTTTTGGCTGCAAATAGTGAATGAGTGCAATGGCGCATACAACTTAAATCAGTATTAGGAGTTTTTAGATTTCGTCAATTGGAAACTTGAAGATAAGAAATAAAGGCGGGGCCTAATCCTTCCTGCTAGACGATAATACAATTATCAATCATAAATTTTTTTTAAAATTTTTTTATTTATTTTTTTGAACAGTTTAAACAGAATTTATCGGCATTTAATTGCTAAGGAAATTTTTTTACATTCTTTCTCTTATCTAATCAAATCTCAAACGGAGCTCTGCGTTTGCTGAAAATATTAATTTTCATTGTAGGTAAAATTTACATACAGACAGCACAGTAAGTACAATACAAATAGTACAGCAGTATTATATACAAATGCATCGTCATTATAATGTAGCCTTCAAATCTAGAGAGAAAAAATTTCCACTGGTGCAAATGTCTGAATTAATAATAATAAATAAAAAAAAATTTACAGCAGTTAGCAGAATTATTTATGCAACATAAATGTCCCGATGTATGCATTTCATTTTAACACAAATATTTAACAGTTAAAAAAATAACAATAATTTTGCAAATAAAGCATTTTCGTAGTAGCTTTTTAGCTAATTATAATTTTTGATTTTCAATATGTTTAGACTATAAAAGATTCTGTCATAATTGATTCGTAAGTTATACAAAAGGAAAATATAATTTTAGTTACTGTCTATAATTGTAAAAAAAAAATGCTTTCTTATTTGTATGAAATAAGCTTTTAATTTCTGCACAACATATAATAAATTGCTACAAATCAATCTGCAAAAAAAAAAAAAGAAAAAAAAATAGTGTCTTGACATGTTCCATTTTATTTAAAAGCAATACATGAAATAGAACGTAAGTTTTCGAGAAAAACAATTACATACATGGCGTTTTTTCGAAATCATTTTATATTGTAAACTTAACTTATGTTATTGGATAAAATAATATCTGATTTTCTTTTAACATATTTCTCGTCAAAAATATGAATACAAAAAGTTCATACATTTAAACATCAAAAGACCACAGCCTTAGAAACTTAAAAAGGAATATTTGGTATCCATACATAATATATTAATATCTATTTGAATGAAAAAGATATTATTTTTCACAAAATGGTGGTAAAAATGCGCCTCTTTCACAAAAGGGCGATGCATACAAAGCTACTAAGCAATAATCGATTTTGTACTGACATCGTAAAATTTATCTTTAATATTTTCCTTTGTGTCTGTTATAAAGGGATTTTTATTCATTTTTTGAACAGAATGTAGCTCATTTATGCCTTTATAGCATATTTGACATAAAAAAAAACTTAACTGATTCTATTGAACTTCAGTTTTAAATCTGCCATTTCTTTCTCAAAAATCAAGTGCCCTATACCAGCAAGAGTTTCTCTGAAAAATCGTTTTCAGAATCAGTTGCAATTGATCAGTTGCAATTATCCCATTTCAAAGCTTTTTTGCTTAAAATACAGGCTAAATAAATTTTTTCAATCAATAAAAGAGTTGCAGTTTAGATTACTGCAGAACAATTTTTTTCAAAGAGATTAAAATTTTTGAAATGTGATTTTCTCCTAAAAAATTTGATTTGATATACTTTTTTTGAGAGTGAGAATCAGGCGTAGTTCAAGATCTATCGATTTTTTCTTAAATTCAAAGTTCAGGCATGTGATTCTTTTACTAATTCGCAGAATCCCGCGAATCTCAAGATTGCGAGCAGTAGCGGCCCAAGGAATAGCGAGCTCGTCTTCCAATGAGAGGATCCAGGTTCGAATCCCAGCGATGGCTGGTCGATTGGAATTCCGCCCACAGCTCGCACCAACCACAATACTGACATAAAATATCCTCAGTGGCCGACAGATCTTGGGTTAGAATCCCCTTGTCGTTAGGCTTAACCATGGGAGGGTTTCCTCTTCATGTAGCGCAAACGCGGGTTGGTTTTAGCAAAATAATTCCTTCACGAAGGCAAATTTCAGCCAATGCTTGATCCAGATGTTCCCTTTGTCTCGGTTTTTCATATGATATTATTAAAAATGAGAAATTCGAATCGCACGTATTTAAATATTCTTTGACACGTTCGCTTTAAGCAAAATCCATGTAGCTTTATTGGGGTTTATTTTCACATGATTTTTTTAATATCCAGATATTATTATGATACGAAAATTTAAATTGCGCAACTGAGTATTCACTATTTGAGGCGATAATTCTATCGTTTTTTTAATCAATTTTACGGAAGTTATCACCGAAAACTTTTGCATAATTTTTAAAATCTCGATATTTTTAGTACGGTATTATTTATTACACTTGTATCTCGAAATGTACGGTTAATTAACTTCTTTTTGATGCTTCCAATTCAAGTGATTTCGTCCGAAATACACGTGGTTTTATCGTCAATCTTTTTTGAGTTATTGCCATAAATTTCTCGGTTTTTAAAAATTCTTTTTTTTTTTTTTTTAAAGCGATGTCGACTACTAAACGGCGAAAAAGAAGGAATCTATATTTTTTTTCAATATACATTCTTTTATGTGTTGATGAAAAGAAAAAAATATTATTATATAAAAAATATTTTCTTTCTCTTTTTAAATTTTATAAATGCTACTTAAGTGCATAAAAATGGCAGTCTTATAAATATCTTCTACATATATATATGTATATATATTTATATATATATGTAAAAAAAAGAATTTTTTTTTCTTTCTAGAAATCACATGTCTGCTAAATTTACATGTTTAGGATCTAGGTATTTACTGTAGCCTTCTAAGATAATTACTGTAGCATTTATAAACTCTGAAAAACGTTTCTCTGATTTTTCTTTCTGTCTTTTTTTCTTTCCTTTTTTGATTTAGGATGTCACAACTTCGAAATTGCGAAGCAACCTGCGAAACTTTAATCTTATTTTCTGTCTAAAAGGAAACAAACAAAGCAAATACTAATTTTCATAAGAATTGAAGAACTTTGTGGATAAAAGTGATAATTTTTTTAAAAAAAACTTGAGATTTTAAGTTTAAAAACACATTGTTGTCAACTGTATTAATGTAACTTAAATTTTGTTTGTCAGGTCACTAAAGAAGACATTCTTTTTTTAAAGAAAAAATGTGTTTTAAAAAAACAGTGTTATTTCCAAATTCACTAAAGTGTCATTTTTTTTCGATTTATCTAGCATTTAAATTTAATTTTTTCCCTTTTCTATTTATCTAACATTAAAATGTCATTTTTTTCCTTTCTATTTATCTAACATTTAAATGTCATTTTTTCCCCTTTCTATTTATCTAACATTTATATGTCATTTTTTCCCTTTTCTATTTATCTAACATTTATATGTCATTTTTTCCCCTTTCTATTTATCTAACATTTATATGTCATTTTTTCCCTTTTCTATTTATCTAACATTTAAATGTCATTTTCCCCCCTTTCTATTTTCTAACATTTAAATGTCATTTTTTCCCCTTTCTATTTATCTAACATTTAAATGTCATTTCCCCCCCTACTATACATTCTAAAGTGCACTTATGCACTTTAGAAAAATTCACTTCCCTAAAATTTTTCTCTTACTTACTTTTCGACCAGCTCTGTTATTGTGAAGGTTCATAAGCGACCTTTCGTCACCTTCTATTTCCCGAGCGTCCATGAACTGGCGACTCATTTTCATGCCGTGTCGGACATCGGCACTGCATCCACCCCACTTCCATCCACCTTCAGGGTCTAGCATACCATCTTTGCTTATGTCACATCCACAGTGCCATAAAGTGCCACGACTGCAGGCCTGCGTGATGGCGTACGTCACTCCAGCTGACGTCACCGCATAAGTGTAAGCAGCTTCCCGGCTACCTGAGAAAGACGTCGTTTAGTATAATTGCAATTCAACGAGTAAAACAATCAATACTGTATAATGAAATGTAAATATACAATCATTATTATAATGCTGGGATTGCTATAAATCAATACTAATGGCAATAATTATTGCAATGGTAAATATTTGCACAATCTTTAAATACATTTGTTGCAATCAGGTAGTTTGTGTTATGGCTATGAGTTAGCATAATAAATGGAGTCTTTTGGTCCCGGAAACAAATAAATCATAAACTTACGATCCGATATGATCTGTAATGAAAGAAATGTTTCATGTTTTGCTTATCGTAGTAAGCATACATATACATATTTCATTGATATCAAAAAGTTGATCAACATCTTAAGCAGAGAACATATTTATGCATGTTAAAAATCTGGGAACTAAATATAAATGATTGTAATGATCTAAACATATTTTATTCTTGAGAGTTAGTTTTTAGAAGGTTTGTTTGGTTATTTAATACTAGCCGTCAAAGGCGGCCAGCTGTCCGCCACGCTAAAGGTTTTCATAAATAAAGTTTTTTAAAACATAGCAGGAAATCTGAACATTTGTGTACAACTAAAGTGTTCCTGTCCTGCAATTTTGTCTTCATATCCAGTTCTGCTGCNAAAAGCATAGATTTTCTTACAAAATGACTGATAACTAAAAAACTAATCCAAATTTTCGAAAAAGAAAAAAAATACTTCTTCATTATGTCAAAACACAATTATGTGCCGAGTTTCGTGTCTGGGCGAGGCTTCTGGGGCGATATATTGTGATTACAGACACACACACAGCCGCGTTTATTATTATGTATAGATAGCTTATGATTGTATAACAGTTCGATTCGGAAAGGGTTCTTTATTTCTCTTGAATTTTTCATATTTTTAAATATTTTGATACAAATGTTAAGATCTGGCAACAAATGGAAATTCGGAATGGACAATAACCATTTACCAAAGTGTTTTTCCTTGAAAGAAGTAAACATCTAGAATCGATAGTGGGAGGCAAGATAGATGATTGCAGAAACAGAGTTTCTTTTTTTTTCTTTCTTTCAATGTTTTCTTTTTCTTTTTTTAATATATTTATTGTTATTAAACTTACTATTGCTTATATTTTTGTAATTTTTCTTACGGCTCCAATTTTATGCATATGTAGAATCAAGTGCTTTAGCAAGAAAATTAATTATGAGGCAAAAAAAAATATTATCTAATTTCTTTCTTCCCTTTTTTATGTCTTAATTTTTTTGTTCCCTTTGACATCAATTCAAACGCCAGTTTATGAAATGAAAATCTCAGAGAAAAGTAATTTTTTTTTTACAAAGTGAATAAATAGTCATTATCTAAAGCAAATAAACGAAAAAAATCTTGAAAAAAGTATTTGAAATTGCAATAAGATTCAAGCAAATTGGAATTTCGAAAAAAAAGAAAAAAAAAACCGCATTAAATTTACAAATGAAAATGGCTTTTTCTGTATATCAAATATTAACTTCGTATTTGCACTTTCACAGACTACAGGTTAACCAAACGTGATATTTTTTCACTTGAATGTTTAATAGCAGATAACTCTCAAACTAATAATTGAATGTTTAAATTTTTTTATTGATCGAACTCTTTGTACAATTTTCTATGCAACTTCGTAGTTCAAGTTTCTAAGTCTTATGGATTTTGTGTAGCAAACTCTATAAGTATACTCTAGCAGTACTTCTTTACTAAAAGTTCATAACTTTCGAACTAATAAGCAAATTTTTTCCCCATCAAACTCTTTGTATAATTTTCTATACAACTTCGTTATTTCAAGTTTCAAAGTCTTATAGATTTTGTGCATCAAAGTAAAATGTAACGTAACGCAAGGAAAAATGTAACATAGTTGCATTTCAGCTGGTTACAGATCAACTAAACATGGTATTTCTTTAACTAAAAGTGTAACATATGACAATTTTCTTAATTAATAATTCGAATGTTAAATTTGTTTATCCCGCTGAATTCCTTCTATCAATTTTTACATACCTTCTTAATGTCACGTTTCTAAGTCTTATAGCTAAGTCTTATCCTAAGTCTTATCCTAAGTCGAAACAAAATACAATGTTAATTTACGCGTCCAAAATCGTGGCGGCCCTTACAATCTTTTAACATAAAAAGATAGTAATTAACTAGTAGCGTAATAATAGACTATGGTAATAATTAAGAAACTACAGAAGTGAATATATATATTTGAAACTGTTGATTGTTCCCTACGCATAAAACCTTGAAGGGAAGAAAAAAAAATCTTTGTTGTCATAGAAAAAAATCCCACTCAATTAATGAACAAGAACTTAAAGTGTTATAATTATTCAGTCTCAATAATAACTGATAGCCATTGATTAATAATTCAGATAATTGGCTAGGGAAAATTAAATAATTGCATACGAAAGCATTGACCTCGAAAGCACATTAATTAATTACTTCATTCCCTCAAGGTATCCATGAACTTAGCATTTATGCATATAAACAAATAAAACCGTCATATTTATAATCGCATTCAAAAGAGCAGTGAAAGGGCGAATTTTCGTCACGCGCTCTGTCAGAATCTTTATTCTAAAATTACAGCAAAATAACAGGCAAGAATCTGTTCAGCCAATTAATGATAAGTTTACGGTTAGGAGCATTTCTTTACCATTACTTGTTTAAAACCATTTATAAATGGTACGGTTAAAGAAACCGTAAATACAAAACTATAAGGTTTTGTAACCACTAACAACTAGCATGGTTTCAAAATCGTAAAAATAAAATTTTATTGAACATTAGAGTTTGGTTATGTTAGGCAATGGACAGGTTAGGTTGTGGTTCAGCTGGGTATTGTCAAGTAAACTATGGAATGTGGCTAAATTAGCTTATTTAATAATGCCATTTATCATGAGATATGAGAAATATTAGACTTAGCGTGAGAGATGGGAATATTTTTAAGCTGCTCAATGGTTCTGAAATCTATACATGAAGGAGAGTTTTGTATTCCAATAGTTCAGAGTCACGAATTGTGGAGTGCAAGACACTGGAAACTTCTCATGTGTTGAAGGAATGGAGGAAGTATAGAGGTGTGAACGGCTGGGATTCAAGCCCCCTGTTCTGCCAGTCATTAGAATAACAGATTAGCTCTCTCGACTAAAGTACACACCCAACTAACAGGAATTAAGTGACTTTATAAAGTGCTCACCACACACTTATTCCTATAAGCTTATTAGGCATTCGAGGTTGTGTTAGGCATCCGATGATGAAAAATAAAAATATGAATTCGTAATCCTTATCACATGGCTTAGCTTCCAGCTTTCGAAGTAGGTGCGTTGCCTCCTTGGCTGGGAGTCTTGATGGAGCTGGTAAAATTCTGTCTGTTAAACCGAACTAGGTGAAAACAGTCAATAAACGATTTTTCTCACAGTTAACAGTTAGAATGCCATTTTGTTTACGGTTATTTGACTGTTTTGGTTGAATATGATAAAATAACAACTAAATCAAATGTTATTTAACCTTTTTATCCGAGAAATTTCAAACAGTGCGGACTGATAACTGTTAAAGATATTTATCTTTAGGGTTTAAGTATGCAGATATATAGATTAATTGTCAAAATCTTGTAAACGCCGCAGTGCTAATTCTAGGATAATGGTATGCTTTTCGGCTGAAGTATGTTTAAGGTACTCACCATCAAAGTATAAGTATAAAGAAAGGTAGCAAAATAATGAGAACAATGCAGTGTTGAGTCTATAGAAATAATATCATAGTGTGAAGTCTATAGGAATAATGCAAGAAGTCCTTCAGCTGCAGTATTTTCAATATATTCACTCCAAAAGCTTAAGAACTGTAGTGTCTATGGAAAGTGTGCAGTGCTTTTAATTGGTGCAGTGTTTTTAAGATATTTACTTCCAATGTTTAAGTACAAAGATGGGTAGCAAAATAATGTGACAGATCCAAATCCATGAAAATAGTGTTTGTACTCTGACAACAGTGAGTTTGGAACATTTTACATTTTATGACTGTTGGAATATTTAAAGGCCGTAATCTAATGTATAAGCAGTAGGGTTATTTGTGATCTTGCAAAATTTGTACCACCTGTATTAGTTAAAAAAAAACTTACCGTAGCAGTGCCTCTCTGTATTTTTTAAGGGATAAATAATTGTTTTAAAAATGTAAAAAAAAGAAAAGTAATAGCACAATTATTTTATTTATAGCATTTATTTAGGGGAAACAAGACATTTATACTAACTAAAATATAAGCATCTATAGATTCGAATCTGAAATCACATAGTGCCTACCTACTTCATTTAAACGTATATAGTCGTTTCTCATTAATGAAAAATATAAGAGATTTGCCCGATTAGGTTACAAAGAGCGATAATTTTTTGAATAAAAATATCTTATTATCATTAAGCATGATTCATCAAAATTTTGATATTGATCCTTTAAACAGTGCTAACAGTTATGAAATATAAAATTTAAAAACACTAATGCAGTGAGAATAACTATTAATTTTATTATTAATAACTACAATTTTAATATTAATAAATTACCCTTACCTTGCCTATAAACTGTTATTTACATCTATTACAGTTTTATTTTTAATGATTTATATAATTCTATGGTTGAGTTAACTCTTCATTCCATGATTATAACTATTGATTAAATGAGCTATTAATTAAATGAACTATTAATTCTACCTTTACATAATGCGAGAAAAATTTTGAAATTAACTTTCTCAATTTTAACAAACTAACTATTTTTATAAAACAGTTTGTAGCTCAAAAAGTGTCTCGATTTGTCTTACTTTAAAAATACAATTTCATAATGAGAAAAACAAAACATTTCTTGACACTGATATCTGGTATCCAATGAAACAAATTTTACTAATTCAAGTTGATGTACTATAAGCTTTACGAAATTTGAAAAGTAATTTTAGCATATTTATGACTAAAAATGAGAAATGCATAATCAATGTGTTACTCAGTTTTTCATAATTTCCAACCAAATAC